GTGTACGTAGGTGTGCGCAGAGCACCTGTCCGTGCCATCTCAAGCCAGGCGCCTCTTTCTCTGAGGTCACAGGGCAGTTGCAGAAGGAGCTGTGCAAATTCGGCTGCTGCTTTAAGATCCTCCCGGCAGGTGTGATGGATGTGGCTGCCTGTGCTCCAATCACGTTTTGTCATCCTGTTCCTTGCCTATGCAGGTAGTCCTCGGGTTATGACCACAACTGAGCCCAACATTTCTGTTGCTAAGTGAGACATTTGTTACACCATTTGCATACCCTTGCAAATGCTTTTTCTAAAAGGAGGGTGTGGAGGAACCCATGGGTAGCTGCCGAAGGGAGTTGATGCATTCCCAGGGCCTAGTACAATGATGGCGAACCTTTTAGAGACCGAGTGCCCAAACTGCAACCCCAAACCCACTTCTTTATTGCCGGGTGCCAGGTGGGCATGACCCACTGGGTGGGTGTGGCCAAGGTGGGCATGGTCACCTTGATGTTGCTTGTGGGGAGGGATGCCTGTGGGGGCCGGGCAGGGTTGGGGGAGATTCAGGGGGTCTCTGGCAGGTGGGGCAGTGGGCAGGAAGCTTGTCCTGTGGGTGAGGCGAGGCAGGGCAGGGGTGCCATTGCCGCAGGGCAAGGCGGGGCAGGGGCCGGGGCGGCCGCTGCCTGACACCATTGGCCCCCGCACGGCGCACACAGAGGCCAGCGAGTGCATGGGAGCCGACAATGTCTGTCAGCAGCCACAGCCTGCCGGCCCCTCAACTGGCGCTCTCTGGGGCTCCACAGCCCGACGCCAGCAGTTCAGAGAAGCATAGATGCAGTGGGTCGTGCCCGGGAAAAGGAGAGCATGTGAGGCCAGGAGGAATGGGACAGCGGGGAGGGAAACCAGCCATGCTGAGATGCATCCGGCCATGTGGGACCTCGGGGAGTTACCGGGCGGCTGGTTGAAGAGGGACAGTTGCCATCTCTGGGACATGGTGCGCGTACCCACAGAGAGGGCTCTGAGTGCCGCCTCTGGCACGGGTGCCGTAGGTTCGCCACCACTGGCCTAGTACACTAACTCTCAGCAGCCCCTACTACGCCTCTGTGCAGTTTTTTTGGTTTTGGTTTTGAAGATTGGGGAAACCTCAACCATTGGGCTCTTACTGTTCCCTTTAAAAAAAAAATCTTCAAAAATCAGAATGATGTTTTTTTTTGTTTCAAGGCTTCATGGAGAATGAGATTTGACTAATCAGTGCATTCTGACAAGGCCAGAAGATACAGCATTGATCTAAAGTTAGATCAGTGTAGTATGAAAACGAATATTGCATAAATGGAAGTTTTCTCCAACTTTCTCTTTTTCTGGAAAATGATGAAAAAAATACTCGCTCCCCCAGCCTCGTGGTATCAATTTTTCTAGAATATTTGCACCTCTAGAAGGGTTCCATTTTTATTCTCTGGAACTTATCCAAAATTGATTTTTTTTGTCCTCGAGTGTCTGCAGTGGTTTGCAGGATATTTTGGAATAGATTCAGATGTGCAGGTGATAGTGACAGAAAAACCTCAGGGCTTTGCAGAAGCTAAAAATGTGCTTAGTATAGATGTAGGTGGTTTGTTGCAGCTCTGTGTTGCAAATAAAAATTGGTATTTTTTTTACTGCTGCTCTTCTAATAGAGCCATTTTTAAAAACTTCCCAGGGAACCGGGGTTTCTTAAGGCACGATTGGAAAAACAAACGGTGGGCTAGGCCTGTAGGGGACCCCCTTCCCTTTCTCCATATCTAAGTAGAAAAACCGAATACATTAAATCCACAATAATGAAATGAAATCTTCTACAAAATTGAAAATCAGGCTTGTCAGATGCTATATTTTTTCTATCCTGCTCTATGGAGTAGAGAGTCGGTCTCTGACAGAAGGCCACCTGAAGAGACTAGAAGCATTTGAAATGTGGATTGACAGGCGGCTGTTACATATAAGCTGGGTTGACAAGATCAGAAATGAGGAGGGGATAAGCCGCCTGAGAAAGCCAAGGGAAATCATCAAAATAATTAAAAAACTGAAAATTAGAATATTTCGGACATGGGATGCGACACCCAGAAAAATACGGCATACTCCATTTAATCCTCCAGGGAAAGATTGAAGGCAAATGAGATCCAGGCAGAAGAAGAACATCGTGGCTTCAAAATCTCAGGGACTGGTTTGGATAAAACTCAGCAGCACTTTTTCGTGCGGCTGCTGATTTATTTATTTATTTATTTGTTTGTTTAGATTTATATACCGCCCTTCTCCCGAAGGACTCAGGGCGGTGCACAGCATATTAAAAACAAGTAACAATAAAATACCAAAAAAATTAATAAATACCAAAATAAAAACCCCTCTAAGACCAAATTAAAAGCCAAATATTAGTAGCTGTGTCGTAATTAAAATTATATTAAAA